TTTCCTTGTTTTGTATTTATCTCGACTTTGACAAATAATAATACCTCAATTTTTTTTTGAAAGATGCACCGTTAAAAGCTCTACACTAGTTGTGTGTACAACTTTGCAAAGAAAAACGAAAACGTCGTCGATATATTCCTATTTCTTTGATTACATTGGGAAATTGCAGTGCCATATAGGTTGTCAATAATGACTACGAGAAAATCGTTCGAGCCAGTCAATAAAGATTTTCTTATACATTTTTTGTATAGTTTTACATGCTCCATTTTTTTAAAAGAAAAATCAAGATTTTATCATTTCCTAAAGTCGACATGTAAGCAAAATAAAGAATGTCGCAAAACTTTTGCTACACTGGACATATCGACAACAAGTTCAACCAACTGCTAGTAGTAATTTTGGTTGATTTTACGATAAAATCAGATCGGAAACTTCTTCAGTATGAATGAATTGACAACTTTTCATCCACCTTTGTTTCTTTTTCTGTCTGTATATATTGCGATTAGTAAAAAGTCTTATATTTTTAATACAACATCCTTTGAGAAAAATTGACACATTAGTTTTTTCACATTTCAAAATTAGGTATACCTATGAAATGGGTGAACTAACTGTTTTTACTATTGTAAATTTGTTTTGTGTGGTCATATTGCTAGTGTGGGAAAGACTCATCTGTAGGTAAACCAACGGATCTTCATTAATGAAAACCGAGACCACACAACTGATTCGAAGTCTTTATACAAATTGAACATTTGTGAAACTGAAAATGACGTAGTATTCGTCTTTTCAAGAAGTTATTTTTTAGATAAAATAGTACATATAAACAATGTGAAAAATGAAAAATAGAAATTTTAGAAGAAATATTATCAATCATTTGGTATATTGTCACTAGATGATCGATTCCAAACACCCTTTTAAAAACTGATGATGGTGTTTTATGTCTACTTTTGCTGACTGAAACGAAACCACGACTACGGTTTTCATTGCAGTATCTCGTGAAGCAGCAGAGTTCCAGCTATGTTTCACCATCATTTTTGTTCGCTAAAATAAAGATGACATTTATGAAAAGAAAGATCGGAACATAATCTATAGAACGGTTCCGCACATAGATGCAAGAATCTACTGTTTAAATAATGCGTTTCTTTGTTTGTTTTCAGGTTAAAAACACGTATGAATCAAATGTTCTATTGGTGTAATGAGTTTCGAATTATGTATATACGGATATTACTAGTTTGTATGCTTTTTGGCTATTGGCTACCTTTAATGAACAGCTTTTCAGCAGAGTGGTTGGAATCATCATCATATAGAATTAATGGATCCTTGACAAAGGCTGAACAGTTCCATCGAGCCTACGCTAGTAAGTATTTCCGATTAATTCATTAGAAAAACACATAAGTAGACATGAGCGGAACCAGCCTTTTTTGGTCCCGGTTCCGGTGGAAAAAAATTTTAGTCCCGGCCCCGGTGAAAAAAAATTTTGGATCCGGTCCCGGTCAAAAAAAAAATTTGGTCCCGATCCCGGTCCAGGCTAAAAAAAAATTTTTGATCCCGATCAGAAAAAAAATTCAGTACTGGTACCGAGGTTAGCAAAAGTTTTGTCAGTATAGACCTTAAAATTATTTTCTACCAGTGTTTATAAGTTTGAAACATCTGCCTGCTATACTACAAATTATTTAGTCACTAATATCCTCCTTCTTGGATGCTCAATTAGGCATGAATAGGACAAGTTGTTCTAGTTTGGTCCCGGTGAAAAAAGTTTTTAGTCCCGGTCCCAGTTTGGTCCCGATTCCGCCGGAACCGGAACCACTTTGCCCATCTCTACACTGTAAACTAGAAAATAATTTATAGAGTATGGTAAAAGATATTCTAGGAAAGTTCATAGGAATTCGTCGACGAATTTCTACTTTCTTGAAAATACGATATTCAAGAAGATAGGAATAAGAAATTCTATTTTCTAGTTAGAGAATCGAAAGTGAATTCATATGGGCTTTTCTAGAAATTCGCATTTAATTTAACGATTGGAATATTTTCTAGAAATTTGAAAATCTACTAAGACTTTCTGCTTTCAAGGGAAAATAGGACCAATAAACTAAAGAATAAAATAGTGCTATTTTAAACTTAAATAAATTTATGAACGTTTAATTCACATCAATGCATTAAATAAAATAATAAAATAATTTTCATTGTAATTCATAGCCACTAAATTTATCAAATAAAATAAATAAATTTTCATTTTAATTCATCAGCATTAAATGCAACAAATAAAATGAATACATAAATGATTTTAATTTAAATAAATTCATAAATATTGCATACATTAAATGCATCAAAATAAATAAATAATTTTAATTTTAATTGAAATAAATCCATAAGCATTTAAGTCATATAAATGCATCAGATATGACAAATACATAATTTTAAGTTAAATAAATTCACAAATATTGAATAAATTAATACATCAAATACAATAAATAAATAATTTTAATTTTAATTGAAATAAATTCGTAAACATTTAATTCATATAAATGCACCGAATAAAATAAACAGATAATTAATTTTAATTTAAACGCATGTAAAATGTACTAACTCATGTGGCAGCTAAAAAAATATAACTTGTTAGCGCACCGTCAACTGCCGAAGAAAATAATGAATGCACTGCGCTATCGGCTGACTTATATACGTGAATGAACAATGACTCTATAGGGGTCATTGTTCAAATGATTTTCTCCAAATCGAAATTGATTTTCAAATTTTATTCACAATCAGCGTTGATTTTCCATTCTTTTAGAAAATGAATTTTTTCGAAAATCCAATTGAATTTCTATAAATTAGAAAATCAAGCATTTTCTAAATTTTCAAAATTCGTCTAATGAATTATGGAAATTAGAAAATGCTCCAACTTTTTTAAAGTCGATTTTCTAAAAAGTAGAATTTCAAAAAAATTTACAGTGTACATATAAGAGACCATTCCTTGCAGAAGATCATCTGTCGTAGTAAGTATGAGGTAAAGTGAAAGCCACGAAAATGAGACTAACTGTTCAGTTGATCAAGGAATCACTTTCATTGAACTTTCACATTATTGATAAATGTTTCTTATTTTTTATCTCTTTACAGAACGATGTTTATTGTGGCCACCTTCATTGTTATCAGTAATTTCTATTGATAATATTAATAGCTACAAGTCCATGAAAATATTAATCGACTTACTAATTGGTGGATCCTACGTATTCATGATGGTGGCGGAGATCATATCGAAACCTGAACCTGATGTTCCACTAGAGAATCCTTATATGTGGTTTTGTTGGTGTCTTAAGATACTTATCTATCTTGTCGGCTCGTCTATATGCCATCAACTGGCTACTGCACTAGCATGTCGACCGATGGAAATTCTCTATGATTTACGATACATATCAATGATCATCATGCAAATCACCGGCTTTTTCATTTGTCTATCGTTTGCATTTTTCCTCGGTGTCAAGTTTGCATCAATCAAGACCATACATAGATTATCAAAATGTTCTAATAGAGTTATAATAGTGTAGATTAGAAATATTTATAAGGGATGTTATTTCTCTTTGTTGTTCAACATTACTCTACGCATTTAAAAATTGTTAGTTGAATTACTTTAAATTTTATTTTAGATTTTATTTCGTTTTATGGAATTAGATTATTCGAGGTTAAATTCAAGCGTCTATTATGACTGATTAGTATTTATTTTATTTTATTTATTTAGAATTTCATATTAATTTAGATTTTATTAAAAATAATTTTCTAAAATTTTTAAAATAAAAAAGTAAATCCATTAATTTGTTAAACGAGAAGTTTTAGTCTTGGGATATGATTAGTTGAGAAATAATTGACGAATAGAATTTTAGTAGACAATCAATACGTATTTCTGTTTCTAATGTTTTTTAATGACAAAAATGCACACTGGTTTTTTTTGCAGAGAAAATTAATAATTAGAAATACTTTGTTTTAAAGATTTACTTGAAATAAATAAAAAAAGAGAAGAATATTTTAATGAAAAATGTCGTTCGTTGTCAAAACCGTTGGAATTGTTCATCAAGCAACAAGTGGTACTCTTCTCTGGTATTATTTTATTCTTAAGAAGTTCTTTAATATTAATTTAAATTATTTCTAGGAATGGCACAACTGTTCATAATATGGTAACCCTTAAAGATAGGAAGAATTTATCGATTTATTAAAATAATTTAATATAACTATTTTTTAAATTTTAGTTAGTGCTCGTTTAAAATCGGTAAAAAGTATTCAGAAAATAAAAAAATCAATGAAGATGGTTTCTGCAGCTAAATTTTCAAAAGCTGAAAAATAGAATTACGTGCTGCTCGATCATATGGTTTAAGTACAAAAGGTTAAAAAATTCTTTTATTAAAATGAATCTTATTTTATTCTTTTGCCTTTTTCTCTTTAGCTTTTTATGATAATTTAGAAGTTGAGAAAACTGAAGGCCCTCAAAAACATTTATTTATCGGTGAAACATCTGATTGTGGTCTTTATGGTGCAGCAAATTCATCAATTGTTAAAAATATTCGTACACAATTAACTGATGAAAAACAAAATTTCGAAGGAAGAACAATCATTGCTATTGGAGATAAATCTCGTACTGGTTTATCTCGTACACATTCATCAAATATACTTTTATCAGTTAATGAAATTGGAAAACGATCACTTGTTTTTGGTTATGCATCAGGTATGCACAACAATTAATTAATGCAGGTTTTGAATATAATTCAGCTGATATTGTTTATAATAGATTCAAGTAAAATTTAATTCTTTTTATAAGAAAAAATAATATTTTGTTAAATTATTTAAAAGATCAACTATTGCTTATACAACATCTCGTCAAAAGATTTTATCTGGTGATGGAATTGCACGTTCAAAATCAATTCAAGTATATAATTCAACTAATGCTGATATTCTTCGTTCATTTCAAGAATTTAATTTAGCATCTGTTCTTTATTATACAATGGAAGAAAATGCAACATCAGAACAATCATCACGTATGACACCTATGGATAATGCTACGAAAAATACTGGAAAATTAATTAATAAAATTAACTACTTATTATAACAGAACTCGACAAGCTGTTATTACAACTGAAATTATTGAAATTATTTCAGACGCTGCAACTTTAGAATAGAAAAGTTAAAAGAATTATTTTTCAGGGACAGAACCTTTCTTTTTTCTTTTAGTAGTTTATTCATTTCATAAACATGCTTTTGTTCCTTCCATTTTTCTTTTTTTTTTGATTCGACACAATAAAATCGTGTAAAGATTTCATTCGATTTTCGTTTTCAGATGTCGAATGAAGATAAACAACATGGTGTTGAAACACCTATTACACCATGAAATTTAGCTATTTACTATCAAAGAATTTTTCCATCAGATATTTATTGTAAATGGCTTGCTTGTGGAGAACGTAAGTCAATGGTCTTACATACAATCAAATCGGTTGTTGATGGATCTCAGAATCCTCT